TTCTTGGAGACCAAAATAATTTTTGTCTAGTTGACGCCACTTAAAGTCATTAGATGTGTTATTGAGGATTTTTATGTGTGGTTTAATATGATTTTTACATAAAATACCTAATCCACTAAAATGTCTTTTGTTATGTTTACTAACAGGTCTACATACACTATACACAAGTAAAAATCACCAATTTTATGTGGTAGTTGACCAGACCCAATATGGGTTTCAACAAGGAAAACAATGTCGTATATCATCAGGGTATTCATAAATCAAGGATCACAGGTTTTGTTAAAATCCTGACTTACTAAGCCACCAACATTCAGAAATGCAAACTATAAAGAATTTTGTTTGCTTGTACACTCCATATTTGTTATGTAGTATTCTTAAGTAATACATGAACAAAAAAATCAAGTCATAAAGAAGTGTGGTATCTCAAGAATCACTCTTGTTTTATGTATGTGATTAACGAGACGAAATGAATCAGCATCATAAAAAATTCCACAACAAAAAATTTTAACAAAAGAACTGGGATATAATTGCTAATAAAATCATGATGAGAACTACTTGTTTGCAATTGCAATACATTGTAATAAGAGATCAATAAAAGTTATGGTACTTATGAAGTACTTATGAAGTACTGTACATTAGTATTTACGGCTGGACCCTCTGTTCTTGCCAAACCCAAACTTTCCTCTGGACTTGGACCTTGGTCTGCGGCTGTTGACAGTTTCGATTCCCAAGGAACTGTGAATCACTCTCTTCGTGCTTCTTCTAAAACCAGGTAAGTTGACAAACAAATTGATAAAAGAAGAATATCAGCAGTCTCGTTTTAAAGTTATAATTTCGTAAGTTCTATGGTCGATACAATGACCTCAGCATTTACAATCTTTCATTAAGTTAACTGCTGACAGACGTTTTTTATACTAATGGTAAGCCCATTGGACTTTTACGGGAAGCGCTGACTTTTACAGTTGACGAATTACTCTTACATTAGGACAGTGTACGGAAGCTCTTTTACGATATAATAATTAAGCTCAGCATTTAATTCAACGAAAACAAGATGTGTTTGTGAAACACTGATGCCCCCGTATGGCAACATAGGAAAACAATTGTGAAATTTGAAAGTAAGCCAATGTTAAAGCTTTTTCAATATGTACAAAAATCTCCAAGGTCAAGGTCAAAAGGTCAAATGTAATTGGTATCAAATGAAAGGTCTTGCCACATAGAATACTTAAGTAGAGTACGGAAGCCCTAGCCCTTGCCGTTCAGAAGTTATGGCCAAGGTGAAATTGTTCTAAAAGTAGGTCAAACTTCAGGGTCAAAGGGTCAAAGTTCTTGTTATCAAATGAAAGGTCTTGTCACAAAGAATTAAATATGTAAAGTATGAAAGCACTAGCCCTAACTCTTTAAAAGTTATGGTCAAAGTTTGCTTTTTTGAAGTAGTCGCAAAGGTAAAGGTCAAAGGGTCAAAGTTCTTGGTATTCAATAAAGGGTCTTCTCACAAGGATTACACATATGAATTATAAAAGCCCTATCCCTTACCTTTCAAAAGTTATGGCCAAGGTTTAAGTTTTTTTCCCAATTACGGGGATCTACAGGGTCAAGGTCAAAGGGTCAAGGTTGTTGGTATCCAATGAAAGGTCTTTCAACAAAGATTACATATGTGAAGTATAAATCTCCTGGTTTCTACTGTTCAAAAGATATGGCCAAAGTAAGAGTTTAAAATTTTAATGTTAAAGTGGGTCAAATTCCAAGGTCAGGGTCAAAAGGTCAAATTTGGTGGTACCTAAAGAAAAGTCTTGTCACAAGGAATACACATGTGAAATATGAAAGTCACAGCTCCACTGAATCAAAAGTTATGGACAAAGTTAAAGTTTTTGCGGACAAACAGACAAACAGAGAGACAAAAAGACAGCTAGACAGACAGACAGACGGACACGACAAAAACTATATACCCCCGTAACTTCGTTTACGGGGGCATAATAAGAGGCCATTTCAAAGCACAGATAAGTTGTTCTTGAAAAAAACGACAACCATCCTACAATCAAATACAGGCCTTGACATACAAGTGCCCCTAACACCATTACCATGACACCTAGAAAGGATCACTCTTCCATTATCAATTCTGTACTTCCCTAGATGTGAATATTTAAATGTCCAAGTAAACAGTCAACTGTAAAAGTCAGTGCTTCTCTTAAGAGTCCATTATTTACACACTGAATTGACGATGGATCGATTTTTTCGTTATTTTCCGATCATGACAAAGAGCACACAGCTTCCATACACTGTCTTAGTGTGAGAATAATTCGTCAACTGTAAAAGACCTCGTAAAAGTCCATTTACACACTGAATTGACGACGGATCGATTTTTTTGTTATTTTCACTGACAAAGAGCACACTCCACGTCTGCTGATCCCAACTCTGATGTTTTAGAGGTCCATGTGTGTTCTCATCCTAATTTGTAATGTTTAATGGAGGTTTGAGCTTGAATATTTAATGCTTCTTATTAATGATATAAGACAGATGGAGGTATATTCATTGAAAAAACATAAGACTTTATTAAGTATTAGAGGTGAACTCCTGATAACTTGATTCCGGGCTAGAATTTGTCAACGACACATAGTTGCTGTGATCATCAATGTCCGGAAGGGGATACGAAGGCGGAAGATCAAGTGTCAGTTTAGCACATTCACCTTGGAAACTATCAGTGGTCTCGGTATCGGTTGATAAAGATGGAGCATCCGAAAGGTAAAGTCTGTCTTTTGCGTCCTGAATGACCTCTAGTTCATTATATTGCCCAGTTTTTGCTAGCGCCTCGGCCTTTTCTATGTAATCTATGGCTAGATTACTCTCACATTTTAATTGGTGCAATCTAGATTTCAGAATAAAATAAAACATTTGAACTCGACCTTCTGCCTCTTTCATTCCATACTCTTTCAGTAAACGCTCTGATTCTTGCAGGACACGCTGTGGTAGATGAAAATTGGGAAGAAAACGACAGCGCATGCCTAAGCCCAAAAGACAGCAAAGGAGACGGAATATGAATTGTCTTGTCCAGTGCATCCGTACGTCGTCGGGTTCATTTTGAAGAATAGACAAAGCGGTTTGCAGGTGCTCGTATATGGAATTCAATTCTATCTGTGGAAACTTTTCAAACCAGGCCCTCCGGAATAGAACTATTTTATAGTGCATATCCACGATTTCTAAGCAGCCTGTTACATTAGCGGTATCTGTTAAAGCTTGTAACACTACCCCCTCGCCATCACCTTTCCTGTTTGCGAATGACAAGACGACCGCCCTCCTTCCATTTAACAGGCATCTAGACAAGTTCGGACATGACGTCATTGAAATTATTGATTCTATGTTCTCAAACAGTTGATCATCAGGGCTGATTTCATTGGTTTTATTTGAAAGTGCATCTAATGCCAGTGCTTGTACTACGACGTATTTGTCGCATAACTCCCGAAAATGCCGAGTTTCCTTTTGATTCCCGATTTTAGAGAGATGACTGTAAATTTTTTCTCTCATTTCTTGTGAAAGCTTCTTCAGATGTTGTACGGGATCACGAAATATCATTGCTTGTAAACATTTTTTCATGTTTTCAAAATACAAGTGTATGTTTCTTCTTTCTGAGGCGTCAATTCTGTATACCACGCGCGGGCTTAAGTAGTAATCTCTTATATTTTCACAGATATTGAAAAGCTTGTAACCAAGTTCTTTATATATTTTTGTAGTTCTAAAATCATAATTGTATACTGTAGATATAAAATGGTATAGATTTCGAAAATTCCTGACGATATATTGTAGCAACCAAGACGTTGACTGATATTCTTGATTACTTGCTAGGAAGTCTCTGGAAGAAAACCTATCGTTATAAAGCACCCTTTGAAAAAGTATCATTTCTTGTGGGCTGAGTTCACAGAGAAAAATGTGCAATGCTAGTTTATGATACGGACTTGTTGAAAATGTCTCTTTCTCGTACCGATTCAACAAAAGTTGTTTGTTACAGCTTTCCATTTCACCCCTTCCACATGAATTACCCGGTATTAATTCCATAAATTCACATTCTGGTATAGGTTGCTGCAAAAGCATAATTGTAAAATCTATTATATTCCGTTACATATCGATTCTACGATGAGAGAATGCCAGAATACAGATTACGTCGCATGTTGTCATTTTAATTGATTTTAGAGAAAATGAAAGTTAATTTAATCAAAATATAATTTTCAAATATGTCATACTCACCCTCAACTTTTGATGGAAATATTTGAAGTTGTAATTGTAGTAGATTGAATGAAAATATCTGAAATATGTAAAAGCATAAGAGCTTGGATATTCAGTTTATTTATGCTGTGTATATGACTTCCGTTGCATATCGATTCTACGATGAAAGATGCCAGAATACATTACAATGTATTTTGACATGTTAATTGATTTTAGAGAAAACGAGAGGTACTATGAGCAATGAGCTCACTATATGATGCCCCCGCCTCCCATATGAATATAATGACAGTGTCCATGTTTTGTTATGGGAAACCCAAAATATGTGTCAAATCAAAAAGTAAAATAGAGGGTGCACAATGGCAATATGTAATAAAGATTCTGTGAAAAGTCTCATCAAATTTCATTCATAAGAGGAGGAGATAAGAGATGGGTACCCCAAAGTGTAACAGACGGGCGGGCGGACATCCCGATTACTATATACCCTCCCGCTTTTCAAGCGCGGGGGGGTATAATGAAAATAACTTAATATCATCAAAATATATTAACTAATAGGCTACCATATATACGAATCAAATATCATTCTCACCCTCACCTTTTGTGAAATATTTCAGGATGTAATTGCGTAAATTGCAGGAAATTTTCTGGAATGTGTAAAACAATCAGAAAAGCATCACACATAGTCGATTATCAAATTAAAATGCTCAAAATCCTTAACATATCCCAAAGATATTTATTGTGTAAGAAAATTAAATGTTCGAAGTGTAACATACACAAACCCCAATTTCTCTCCTGGTATCTTTTCCTTATTTTTTTTCTCTATAAAATCAAAGTTAAAGAGCAAGAGCCATCTTATGCATAAAATGGCCCTGTACTTATATCAAATAATTAACTATCACCCTCTTTCCCATTTCATATATCAAAATAAAGTAGACACTTAGTGCTTTCATTTTCTATCATAAAGTTTCGAGAATCCAGATATTGGAAAACAGGTTTGAAAAATTGCAATGTTCTTGAAATTTGCAGAAAACACGCGTATTTGATACCTTCAGCAAAGAATCAAAATATGAGCACAGCCCACGATCCAAAAAAAATAAAGCATGTTTTTTTATCTTCAGAAAAAGAGCTTTCATTATGTATTTGCATATTTTGGATCAGAGGTTGTGCTCTATATGAAATATTTAAAAACAATGCTTCAACTTTAGGTCATTTTCAAAGGAATTTACGGGATATGAGGAAAATGACGCAATTTATGACGTCATAATATATTGACTAAACGGGAAATTACGTCACCATTAATAGATACGTGGTCACCAATATTCCAAGTGATAAATACTGCATTTGCAACCTAAACTGAGTGGTTTGATTTTTCAGAAATTCTTAGGGCCAAATAAGGCCCAAAGTGGCTCTTGCTCTTTACATAAGTTTTTAACGTCTTCAAATCAAATATATGAAAATTATTCATCTACGAAGAATTTATGTCACATTCTCAATTCTTACCCCTAAATATCATTTTTATCAACTGCTTATTATATGCGGAAGAAAATCAATTATAATGGTTTATTTAGACTGTTACAATATCAATTTCCTTGACGTGCAAACCTTATAATGTAATTTAATCACTGGAAGAGTATACGATCATGTAAAAATAGACCAGGTAATTCTTTAGGCTGCACTGGTGCAAATCCGCCTTTCTGAAATTAAATACACAGTATTATATAAACATATGGAGATAACGATCGTTATTTAAACAAAACAAATCAGGAGCAGAGCAAACAGTTTATTCTCATAACACCTCAATGACAGCAACCACTTTATGTTTATACAAAAATAATTTAGAGACCCTGGGACCCATTTTACAAAAGAACTTACAACTTACTTGACTAAGATCATTCTTTGAATTTCTTCATCTTGACTCTTTTAAAGCACAGAGCAGAAATCACACTGCGTCAATACCAAATGATGACCATCACCAAAACCTAAAGTTGATTGTAGGATGTTGTAAAATTAATGATTCTCCTTGGAATTGTTAGCATAAAAATGTCTTGTTTAATTTTTCTATTTAACAAGATTTAAATAATTTTCAAAATGTAAAACAGAACGTTTTTAACAGAATTAAATTTTGGTCTTAGTCCTAAGCTTTTTTTTTAAACGATACCCAGGGAGAACAAATACATTTGAAATACATATACTTTAAAAATATACATGTATTTTAAATCTACGTCGTCTCTTGGTTAAAACCAGTAATGGTATAACATCAATGAATTAATGAGTTTTCCCAGTAAATTTAAATTTTCCATCAATGTTCAATTGATTAATATTTTCAATCAAACAATGTTCAATCAACCACATCTTCACCAGCCAAGAGTTTTCTGTCCAGTCCGGAAGCTAGCGAAGATGAATCAATCAATATTTCAATCAAACTTTTTTTCAATCATTCAGTCCATATTTCATCAATTGAGGTTTCAATAAAAAGTTATAATATAATAAAATATAAGTCATTATTTCCTTCTATCAATATTTGAATTAAATCTATTAACTTTTCAGAAATGAAGGATTTGGAGATAACGAACAGTATCCAAAACCAAAGTCCGTAAAACACCCGCCATGTGCTCTCTGTCATGATCGGGAAATAAAGGGAAAAATCCGTCGTCAATTCATGCAGGTATAAATAATGGACTAACAATAAGTATGAAAAACGTCAGTCTTCACTTAACTCATTGATAAAAGTAAAATAAAAGTAAAAGTAAATCAAAGTGTCAAGCATATTTTATAATGAATCATTTGTTCCTAAAACCCTTTCTTATGATTAGTCCCTACAATTTTTCCATTCATCTGATATAAATTTTAAATTTTATATCCATACCTCTGAACACCTTTGTTTATCACTCGTTTGTTTTATACCAAACATTTAAATCCATTCTTAAAAGATTCTTCTTCCTTTACGTTTAAACCTTTAAAGAAGAGTAAGCATGTCAAAATAAACCGGGTATTTCTTAAGTTGCACTGATGCATATCAATCAATCAATGAGATAAAAATGATCGAAGTGCACGGTTTGACCGATTTGTACTATAGTAATCATAAAGAAATAACAAGATTACACATAACATAGAAAAGAATGTGTGATGTTTTTATAAAGAAAGCTATATGATATCTGATATATTATTTCAAAAATGTATGTTTTAGGAGCATTTGGTTGCCTATAAATGTTTGCAAGGCTATTTAAGGAAACTTATTCATGTAAAATATTTTTTAAAAACTGAATATATATCTTAGGCTACTTGTATCAGACAGAAACAGGGAGGTATAAAAATTAATAAGAGGTAACAGGAAATTTGTTTAATCTAATTTAAACAATATTGAAGTTAAATTTCATTTTTTATCTCACCTCTACGATTTTTTTTGAGCAGTCAATTCCAAAATAATTACTAGAGGTATTTAGCAATGAGCTCCCTAAATGATACCCCCGTCTCCCATATTAATATAAAGGCAGTGTCCATGTTTTACTGTGGGAACTCAAAATATGTGTCGGATCAAAAAGTAAAATAGGAGGTTCACAATGGCAACATGTAATAAAGATTCTGTGAAAGTCTCATCAAATTTGCTTCAGTGGTATGAGAGGAGTTGCGGATAAGAGATGGGTACCCCAAAGCGGAACAAACAGACGGACGGAAGGTACAGACAGACAGACAGACGAACGCTCGGAAATAATGATTACTAAACCTCACGTAACTATGTATATAACCCCTACCTTGATCATACTTGCATCAATGATGATGCATCTAGGTATGGAGGCTACCAGAGATATTTTGGATGCTCAGAAGAGTGATCAGTTTAAAGGTTTTGGAACAGGTTCATGCCCAAGAAACGATAAGCCCTACCTGAGCTTTAAAAATTAAATGGAAGATACATCTATATAGGCTTGTACATTACCCAAACTTCTTCAAATGCTTGATTCAACCTATATTTTCCAGATGAATAAAATTTATCCATACTTGACACTTCGGATTTTGGATCTAACCAACTTTTCCATGATTAATTTACAGGTTGTTAACTTATTTTTTTTTTTTTTGGATCTAGTTTATTTCCAATTAATGATAAGTCGTACTGAAACTAAACTTGCATAGATATGACTGACCCTTGTGTATACAAAAAAGTCTGTGATATTTGTCTTATCTCTAAATTCCCATACTTCACAGTTATATCCACGTACACATTTTTTTTGGTTTTGTTTTTGTAATCTTATAGATCTACTGCTATGTATAAATTCATTTATATGTTTTTGTAATGTCTTTTATACTGCAAACATTGTAAAATGGTGAAGAGATTCAAATATTTAGTATATGATAAATTGGTATTAGAATGCTTAATAACAATAAGTTATATGATGGTATTACACAAGTTTATTTATTGAAAAATAACAGTCTTTGTATTTTTGTTGTATTACAGTTAATTTATAAGTAAATTGCGAATGAGATGTACGTTCTGAAAATAAAGAGCTGCACAGTTCCTCAACGCCACAACATATCGGTAGGCCCGGATCTGTGGTTAAGGATATTGCAAATCCTAGGCTTTTTAAATCGGTGCGTTTTTCAGAAGAAAATGCTGCGAAAACAACCCGTTTTTCTTAAACTTTAATATGTTAACAGAGGAATTGAGGAGGTTAATAAACTCCCAGTAAGTAATATTCTTAATCACAAAAGGGCCCTGTCTTGCATTCCACCTTACTTCAAGTTGAAGACTATGTCTTGTATTTAGTTCAAATCTACATTAACTGTTTAAAAACAGTGTGAAGCGTAAATAATTAATTTAAGGACTAAATTTAGAGACCCTGATCGTTCAATTGGCATCATAATTTCACAAATATAATGGGATCTGTTGAAGATTACGTCAGGCGATGGGAAGAACATGAAAAAGACCAACTGTGCAACAACGTCATGAGCCTATTTTTGTATTCATATGAAGCAGAATTTGTCTAAAATCTTACACGTGAAAAGAAAAAACAACTTGGTTTGACCTACAACTCGACATTTAGATACTCGTATTTCGACGACGCAATTAATATTCATGATATTAATGACTCAAATACTGACCAACGGACCTCCAAATAATCAGAGGTGGGATCAGGCGCCATGAAGGAGTGAGCATCCCCTGCCGACTGGTCACTCCCGCCGTGTGCTCCTTGTCATGATCGGGAAATAACAGGAAATTCCGTTGTCAATTCAGTGTATAAATAATGGACTAACAATTAATATGAAAAATGTTTGTCAGCAATTGACTCAATGATAAATTTATTTTCTGTCAAGGTCATTGTATCAACCATAGATCTTACAAAATGATTACTTTAAACGAAACTGCTGATATTCTTCTTTCATCAACTTGTTTGTCAATAATTTACCTCGTTTTAGAAATTGTACACACGTGGAGCATGCTTTTGTGTATCGAATCAACTGAGAGATATTAACCTTTTGAAGTTGTTCATACATATAGTATGCTCTTGCGTATCGAATCAACTGAGATATGAAACTCTGTATGTAGGTGATGAAGGTACATTACTGCATAAACTAGAGGTACTGTGAGCAATGAGCTCACTAAATGATACCCCCGCCGCCTCCCATATGATTATAATGGCAAAGTCCATGTTTTGCTGTGGCCGGAAAACCCAAAATATGTGTCGGATCAAAAAGTAAAATAGGAGGTGCACAATGGCAATATGTAATAAAGGTTCTGTGAAAGTTTCATTAAATTGGTATAAGAGGAGTTTAGGATAAGAGATGGGCACCCCAAAGCGTAACAGACAGACGAACGGACGGGCGGGCGGACGGACATACCGATTTCAGTATACCCTCCCATTTTTCAAGCTGGGGGTATAATAAGGGAAGTTATGATAGAAAAGCTAGTCATCGCGTTTATCATAGAGCTTGGTTGTTAGATTACCGTTAACGTCCTTTCAAGTAAAATATATAAAGTATGAAACAGATTTGTCAGACTCTGTAGTATCTTTTATCTTAAGCTCACCAAGGTATATCGGACATAGGAATGGAAATTACCATTGTTAATTGACAATACGTCGTTCATATATCTAAATGTCGAGTTGAAGGCCACAGTAAGTGTTGTTTTCTTTTCACGTATAAGATTTGCACAAATTCTGCTTCATATGAATATGAAAATACTAGTAAGTCTGCTAATAACGGAGCGCAATAGGTACCCATGGGAATTCGAATATATGGTTAGAAGACCTTGTCTCCAAAAACCATATAGATATTGTCAATCAGAAACCCAAACATCCTTTTGATGTCAACTTCAGAGTACATGTACTTGTGTGTGCAATCAGAATGTGTTTTAACAAAATAATTTTGCAAATAACCAGTGACCAGTTACGTAAATTTACTAGCTCCATTTATATTGAAAAACAGCTGTCAATGATATCAAAAAGCCTGAACTTAAATTTATCGTGGAGAATGGTTGTGTATAAAGTTGAAAAGTCGTAAGTTTTTTAGCTGTTGATTTTGGTAAAATCTTGTGATTTCAAATTGTCCAAAAGTTCTTTGGAAGTTTTGAGTATCCACTTCTGATTTACACCACTTCTTGAATATATTCACATCACTTCTTGACTTAGTGAGGAGTAAATAGAGAGGCTTGACTGAACATTTACTGGAACCCGCTATGTATCTTTGTTTTTAAGGATTCTTATGA